CCTTAATGTAGAACATGTAATGCCACAAAAAGATCGAGTTTAATTCAAAGCATTGATAGCTTATTTTCGTTCCACAAAATCAATAAAAATCTATATGGATATCCCATATTTTGGTTATATCTCGAAGTTTATGAGAGCTAGAGACACATCAAATTCGGACTGCAGGAGATCTTCCACTAAATACAGATCCAGATTATGATACCTTCAAGTTACTTTCAACATGACCCACAAAATTTGTATGTCGTGAAAATGTTAAGAGAATCGGACTATAGCAACCAAAGTTATTCAGGAATTTTTGGAGGCATGGTCTTGGGCTTCAGTATTTACACACATTTTAGTGCCATTTTTATGTTGCGAAAATTTCATAAAGATTGGACAATAACAACCTGAGTTATACAAGCATTTTTCGAAGCATAGTCTCGGACTTTGGTAATTACACACGTTTTTATGCAATATTTATGTCCTGCAAATTTTATAAAAATCCGACTGTAAAAGCCCGAGTTATTCAAGAACGCATGTTTCAGAAAGAAGGGTTAGGGAAGAAGAAGTACAATGTGTGCAGCTTGGAGCGTGCGTGCGTGTGTGTGAGTATGTGTGTGTTCTGTGCTTGTATGTATAGAATGAAGCTTGTAAGAGCAGCTCGGATATCTTCTGAATAGAGGATATCTTCTAGTCGGGCATTCTACCCTGGAGCTCTTTCGCTTTCTTGTTACAAATGTCGGAGTCTACGCTAGCCTACACTATCCCTCGGTCTCCCTTTCCCTCTCTCTCTCTCTCTCTCTCTCTCTCTCTCTCTCTATCTCTGTTTCTCTCCCTCTCTCTCGCTTCGTGTTGTTTTGCTTGTTATGCCGTGTTCTGTTTTGTTGCCTCTATTTGCCGCGTCGGCCATAAAAAACAATGGCAAACAATGGCAGCTACCGAGCTGCCGCTGTTCTGGACCAGTTGCCCGGCTGCAGTTGATGCATTTGCTTCTGCTTCTTCTACTTCTGCTGGTTTTTTGTTGTTGTCGTTTTCCCATTATGAATGCGAGATCGTTTTTCTGGTCGCTTTTCAATTGACCGTTCAAATCGCAACAAGGCTCAGCCGGGATAAGCCCCGTTCTAGCCGCAACACACAAACTATAGAGAGAGGGGCAGGGGCAGGGGCTGGGGTAGGGGCAGGGGTAGGGAGCAAATGCTGCTCGGCTCTCTCTTCACACGGCGGCTTCTTCTGGCTCTTCTGGCTGCCACTTTGTGCTGTTTGCTGATGCGCATTTGATTGCTGTTGCCATTGTTGTTGTTGCTGCTGTTGCTGCAGTTGCTGGCGATCCTGCTAAGTCCTTGGAAAATCGCTTCAGTTGCGTTTTTTGTGCGCTGCCTTTTCTTTTTATTTTTGCCAATTTCCTGCAACTAATTGCGAGAAAAATCCTTAAGAGCTGGCGCAGATTAGTCGAGCCTCCGTTGGATTGGAGCTGGACCAAGGCCTGAATCGCAGATGGGTCTGAAACACTTCAGCCTCCGCAGGCAAATTAAGATAGAGAAAAAAAAGGGTGTGTGTGGTGCGTGGTGTGAAGTGGTGCAGCGGCGCGGCCACTTGAAAATCTCGTTATCCTGTCAACGCCAGAGACAAGCGGCACTCGGCTGCCGCGGCTGGGAAAACTGCCAGTCATTCCGCCTGAGTTTTGGGGTTGGGGGTTTGCCCGGCCCCAGCAATTGGCAGCTGCTTCTGGTCGCGTATCGCTTACAGCCAAGCTGAATGAAAAGAGCAAAACAGTTGCCCGCCTACAACCACCAAGTGGATCAGCAGCAGCAGCAACAGAAGAAGCAGCAGCCCTTTGTCCCATTGTCTGTTATGTCCTACGCGCTGCTCGGATTGCCGCTCGGTTTGGCTTAGGACGCGTGGTTAAAGCACAAACTGAGTGCACTCAAACGCCTCGACGGGACTCAATTGTTTTGAGATCAATTTGCAACTTAATTGAAATCCATTTAAAGTAATGAGAGTTACTAACTTGCCTACCCCTGGCCCAACTCTGCCACTCTACCCTTTTTTTTTTGCCTATCTTTTGGCTAGTCTGGGCCAAGCTGCAGCTCATCCCATGCTCAAGAATTATAATCCCACTAGCTTGTACCTGCCGTTCGGCCGCGGACTAGATCAATTTGCAAACCCCTTTGTGAAGGCAAATTGTCATTTTGCCACGCCCGAAACTTTTTGCATGTAAGGCGTGGCATGCGCCCGAGCAGGGACTTAAGTGTTGGTTAATGCTTGGAAAACATGTTGGAGCTGTACCGCAGATAAAATGAAAACTATGCTCATTTAGCAGCGTCATTTAGAGAGTCTAGTGCTGGAAAGGCGCCCTAGCAATGAGTTAAGTGTTGGTTAACGCATGAAAAGTCAAGTGGGGTATCATGTGTTGGGTATAACAGCTAAAGTTGTGAGGATACCCACTTAGCAGTTCCATTTCGAGGGTCAAGGACCTGAAATGGGATTTAAGTGTTAGTCAACGCATAGAAAAAGTTTAGTATTATGTGTTGGAGCTTTACCGTAGATATAATAAACAGACGTCCTTTTAGCAGCGAGAATTCGAATTTGTAGAGCCAAAAATGAACTCGAGTTGGAAGTTGAGTGCTGGAAAATTCAGAAAAATATATAAACTAGTTAATTAATTGATGAATCTATTTAAACGGTCAGTTTGCTAGCCTTTTAAAGACAAATTGACATATCACAACCATTTGGCCGCATTCCTAGGCAAAGGCATAAAACTGCAGTGTTGGCAAACGCATAATAACCACACTTGCATAGCCTTTTCACTGACTGTACATCAAGAAATTCAATATGCGAGTTGAGTAAAGTCCAATTTTCGTTTTGCCAAGCTCAGGATGCTAGTGTAAAGCGTTAAAAGCGCCCGAGCAGGGACATCAGTGTTGGCAATCGCTGACGAAAAAAAAAAACCGAGGGAAAAAAGTGGGGCATTATCCGCCGGAGCTGGCAAATATATGCGACAAAAATATGCAAAAAAATTGGCCCAAAAATATCAGGCGGAGTCCATTAAAAGGGAATAAGTGCGTGCAAATCCTGACCGCAGGATATTTTTCTCATATTATCAGCGCATATTACTTCATCGAAAATGAAAAAGCTCGCCCCACAGCCCAACAGAGCCTCCCCCCTCACCGCCCACAAGCTGCCAAAGTAAACATGTGCGGAGTGCCAAGGCTCTGAGTAGCTCGTGCGAGTAGTTGAGGAGGATTGAGGATTGCTTTTTATGGCCGCGTCCACGCGCCTTGCCACACACACAAACACACACACACACACCCACACCCTCAAACCCACAGAAATATAGAGCGGGAGAGAGAGAGAGAGAGAGAGGGAAACTCTATGCTGGACCACATATAAGTTGATCCCTTGTAAATCTCTAAATTGTTTTATGAGCATATTGGAAAAGTAGGTGTAAACCTAATTTTCCTTTATAGCTTGTTGCCGTGCGTTCGACCTGCGCCCGTCAAAGCAAAGCTCACCCAAACGACGACCGCAGGAGCAACGAAAAAAAAGGACATTTGTTGTTCCGGCCGGCCGAGTGCACACAGCAGGATGCACTCAATCGGCCGCTTCCGCCTTTTGTTTGAACGCTTGTGCTGAGCCTCATTTAAATCATACCGCTGGCCAATTTGCATTCGCACCACAAGCAAATTGATCCGCCCTAATCCCAGGCCAAAACTACGAACGCAGTCGCAACTCCTTCGAGCCCAGCGCAGGCCGGCCATAGAGCACGGCCGAGGGCCGAGGATTTGAATTTAAAAGAACAACACAACAATCTTTGCCTTTCAGCGCAGGCCTTCGGCTTCCAAATTGAAGTCAGTCGGGCGAGCAAGCTGCTCAGCTCTGGCAAAGGGGTTCGCCAAAATGGTCAATCTGCCCATATAGTCCGTACAATAGTGTTGCAAAATGTTCGAAAGGGTCTCCACTCGTTGATTTAAATTTCTTAAAGTTGATAACAATTATACCATCGATCGATTTTCATTAGTATTTCTATAATTGGGCATATATTTGATTAGGAGACTGTACAATAGTGTTGCAAAATGTTTGAAAGGAGCTCCACTCGTTGATTTCGTTTGTTGATAACATTTCTACTATCAATTGGTTTACTTAATCAAAATAATTGGGCATATATTTGATAAAGTGACTGTAAAATAGTGTTGAAAAACGTTCGAAAGGGGCTCCACTCGTTGATTTCGATTGTTTATAATTGATAAAAATTATCCCATCGATAGATTTTCATTAATATTTCTATAATTGGGATTATATTTGATTAAGTAACTGTATAATAGTGTTGAAAAACGTTCGAAAGGGTCTCCACTCGTTGATTTAAATTATTAATAATTGAAAACATTTAAACTATCGATTGGTTTTTATTATTATTTCTATAATTGAGCATATATTTGATTTGGTGACTGTACAATAGTATTGCAAAACGTTCAATTGTGGCTCCATTCATTGATTTGGATTGTTAATAATAGATAACATTTATATTGGTTTTAATGAAAATTCACATTATGGGGCATAACTATGATAAGGTGACCTCAGGTTTTAGATGGATTTCCTGAGCAACCTTCTTTTTGTCATTTTTCGTCCATTGGAGAAAAGGCACGTTTTCGAGCTTTGTTTTTTTTTAATAGGTTTCATAGTACAGTTTAAATGATAATTAGAAGGTCAAGAAGTTTTCCCCAGAAATCAAAGCATTGCTAAAGAGTTTTAAAAGATTAAGAAGAAATAGATTTTGAATAGAAGGCAAAAAATTCTTAATTTCACCATTTTTAATATAAATGTAAGCATATGACTTCCAAAAACTATAGAAACTTGGTAGGGTATAATCACAACAGGCAATGTAAACGTTCTGATTCGCGAGTGAACACTGTACATGAATGACTTTTTAAATTTGAAACGGTTAATTGAAAAGGTATGACTGGCGCCCTCTGTGTGTCATTTCACATTGAGTTAAACCAGCTTTGCTCAGCTGGCAACGCTGTCACGCACAGCTGTTGCTGGCAGACATCTGGCAACATGGCGACGATAAACACAACATTTCGATAGACAACAAATGCAGCGCAAAACGACAAAATAATAAACAAAATAATGCGAAGCACATAATAAATAACATATCAAAATAAAAAGGAGAGGAAAAGCCATGGAAATGGGCAGGCAGAAGAAGCGACGCAAGCAGCGCAAACGCAAACATCAGCGACACAAACAAAGGGCGTCAGCAGCGGCCGCCGCAGCGGCTGTGGGCGCGCCCAAGCTGCCCGCCGAGATCTGGAGGAGCACGTACAAGACGCTGCTGCAGTGGCATCAGGCGCAGGTGCGCAGCGTCTGTCGTGGACAAATGGAGCCGGCGCAAGACGAGAGCTTCAGCGAGGGAGAGGAGGAGGAGGAAGAGGAGTCGGCATACGAAGAGCAAGAGCTGCAGCCGGAGGCGCATTTGGAATGGGATGATGATGTGGATCAAGTGGATGTTGAGTATTTAAAATTTCTGGAGGTAACGCTGCAGCATCAGCAGGAGTTAAAACGTCTGCGCGCCGCAGCTGCAGCCGCAGAGGCATGACTGCCAAAAAAAACCCGCCGTAAAACTTGGTTTAAGTTTAGGTTTAAGATTCCTACAGTGAAAGCTCAGCCACAGCCACTGAGAATAACAGTACAGTAAAAACTCTGTTAACAATTAATTTAAACGTGTAGCCAAAACTTAATGTTTGTATTCATAATTTGACACAATTTTTTGTTTCTTAATGTCATAACTAAATGTATTTTTGAAAAGTTTTCTATTTTGGATAAACAATTTGCAAATTGACGACTGTAATAAGAAATCTAGCTGCCATTCAAATTCCAAGTACACTTTTTGATGAATGTTTTCGACTAGGATAAGTTTATTGATGGATAATATAAATTAATTATAAATTAAATATTTTACACTAGTTCTGACGCGAATATATGTTCCAAATTTCAAGTCACAAAGGCAATATGCTCTTTAAGATTTATCTGGAATTTATCAGCTTGGAAAACTGTTCGTTAATAGAGACATCACTGTATACAGTAGTCTAACATCTGGCTGAAAATGTTGTACTTTGCATCACAAAAGGCGCCTTTAGCAGCCAGGGCGTGGGCGTTGCGTATCCAACTGTAAATGTGGCCAGAGAAGCTGCTTTGCCGCATTCCCAGAACATTTTTTTTGGCCAGGCTAATGAAGTTGGGAAGACGCACATTAAACTGACCAAGACAAATGGTGGGCAATTTGTAAACAACACAAAGAAAGCCTTAAATTAAGGCTACAAAGCCAGAGAAAGAGATCGCGAGAGTGAGAAAGAGAGACAGGGTGGGAGCAAGAGGAAGAGAGTTGAAGTTGAGCTGGGATTTCATCAGGGCAACCCAAAAAATATATATAACACTGTAAATTTATGCGGGACGCCCATTAATATAGAAGCTGATCCCTCACTCTCTCTCTTGCCCTCTCTCTCTCTCTCTCGCCCCTCTCTCTTTCTCTCGCTGACTGGGTCATCAGGGGCGTGGCAACGCATTAGCCGCCTTTCGCGCCGCTTTTCGACAGAAAAACCTAATTAAGTTATCCGTGAGGTGTCTGGTAACAAGAGCTCCAAGAGCGACCTGTTTGTGGTGCTGACAACCATTTGCCTGGCTTAGCCTGGCCTGGCTTGGGCCGCAGGTGTCGCAAACTAGAGACAAGAAGCGACCTTTCTATAACTGCCCGCTGCATAAATCATGCAGTGGAAGCAGCTAACAGTGGGCAACAGCTGAAAAAACTGCTGCTAATGCGATGAAAATTCAGGGTAGAGGCAGAGATAGATGGGAACTTATTTGGAAAATGTGAACGGAAAGGCGAAACTTTTAGTATTCGCCATTACAATAAACCTCTTTACAATAAAATCAAACTTAAAACGATAAAAAGATTTTCTACAAAAAAGTCAAGTCTAAACGTGAACCAAACCAACTCTTGAGAAAACAATACAATTGGTTCTTTTGAACCTTTCTTAATGCAATATGAACTTGAACTAAACCCAATTTTCCAATATTTTTATTTTTTCACCAAACCTGAACCAAAGCATTACCAAAAAAAAACATGTAAGAGGTTCTAGTCGGGAGCTCCCGACTAGGGGATACCAGGTATAAAACGAAGAATACTTGATATATATACTACTCTAGAAGCTACATGTCAAATTTGGTGTGTCTAGCTCATATTATTTGCCAAAATTGGTCAAAGTTCAAGTCTCTAGTTCTTATACGTTCTAAGATCCTTGCGTTCATACATACGGACGGACGGAAGGACAGACAGACGGACAGGGCGAGAACGACTTATGGGGTCGGAGATGCTTCCTTCTGCATATTACATACATTTGCACAAATACATTATACCCCTTTTACCCATTTTCAATGGGTTCAGGGTATAAAAAAGAATTTGAAAACATTTGGGCAAATATTTTACTGTCTAACGAATATAAATATTTAAACTAAAGCTAATTAAGTTAATAAAATAATAAGAATTGCTTTGTTAAGAACTAGAATCTGGTTTTGTGTTGTGTTATCCAAAGAGCAGGCATTGGCAAATGAACAAAAAAATTGTCAGTGGTTCGGTTCACGGTTCAAATGAACTCCATGCCTTACATTTCGGTTCGTGAATCGGGCACTTCACATCTGTGAATCCAGGATTTGGCTTGAATCTGGGCTTATGCCTGGCAACTGAGTCGTCTTTAAAAGCGTTTCCTTTAAATTAATTGTTGTATGTGGTTCGGTTCGGTTTGCGTGTTCTAGTTCGGTTCTTAGTAACCTTCGAACCTCGAACCATGAACCATGAACCAAGGTTCGAATTTTTTTTTTGGCTCTGACAGCAATCATAGAATTTGCTTGAGCCGAAGGGAAAGCTGCTGCCCAACGGGGAAACTGCTGCAGTGCTTGCAGACACTCATTTGCGCCAGGATGATGCAAACATTATTGAAAATGGCCGCCGGTTCCGGCTGCTAAGTGACGCAACAGTTGCCAATGTTGTTGTTGTTGTTATAGTTGTTGTTGTTGCTGGGCGACAGCTATGTGAAGCAGAAGCAGCAGCAGCAGCAGAGGCCTCTAATTAAATGGGTGTAGCCGCTGAATGCTGCTAATAACCAACAGGGCAGCAGCAACAACAACAGCAACAACAGCAGCAGCAGCAGCAACAACAACAGCAGCAGAAACAACAACAACAGCAGCAACAACGAGCAGCCAACGATGTGGAAAACAAACAAGCCAAACCCAAAGGGCTGCTCTTGTTCTTGCCACCTGTTGCCATCTCTTTCGGCATGCGGACTCTTCTTTTCTTGTTATGCCTCAACAATGGGGTATTTCGATTTTGTCACTTAAAGTGTGACATATTGTAGGGAAACCAATCCGAGACCTTAGAGCATACATACATATATGTATGAACATTGTCAAGAAATAATATATATATAATCATATATATTATCATAATCTGTGAACTAAGCTTTCGATAAGGCTAATTTAATGCAACTTGGTACTGAATCCTTCAGTTGATATAATAGGTTGAAGCAAAGCTAATCGGTTCACTATAACTATATATATATATCTACCATAGTCGAGAATTGAGGTGTTTTATGTACAAGCTTCTTGTTTTTCTAGACTTCCTTCAAGACTGCAACAACAACATTTTGATGATTTGATTTTGAGATATATTATTACAAAATTTCCTGTTGGCATTTTATAAAATTTAATGTTTTATAATTATGGGTTAAAGATTAATTTTTGTATGATAAACATTTTAGTTCTTCACAATTTATACAATTTATCAAAGAACTATATAATATATTTTCCCTTTAAGTAATAAAGAACATATATCTCTATAGAACTTAATCTGATAGCTTTAGATTACTTTAATGTATATTTTGCAGAAGGAATTAATATTTTAATATTTAAATTTATGATAGTCCGTATATCTATATATATATATATATATATATATATATCTTCTTAAGGTTCGACCCAAGTTTAGTCTCATTTTATGTCCTAATCTCTATATATATGTATAAGGATATAGTATCCTGTGGCACTCACACATGTCTCTCTGTTAGGGTATTTAAATGTTCGGTAATCGCTTAGCTTCTTTCTTCATTTTGCTCCTCTGTTGTTTTTGTGTGCTGTGCTACGTGTTGTGCCGCCATGTTGGCAAGTTTGTGTCGCAAGTCTTTTGATTTAGCATGCGATATGAAACACCCCCGACACAGAACAGAGATTTTTGAGATCTGGGCGATCTTGATGTGCTGTATGTTATGCATATATAAATGTTATGACACACACAAACTGAAAAAAACCTGCTGCCAGGCGAATGGAGGCCAGCGAGCCAGATTTCTGGCTGCTGGAGATACGAAGGCTTGTGGTGCCAGACAAATTGTTGCCTACAAATCAATTAAATTGCTAATGCAGCGCGACAACAAACAAAACGGCAGCAGTAGCAGCAAGAGCAGTAGCTACAACAACAACAGCAGCAACAACAACAACAACAACAACTGCAGCCAGCAAATCGTGTATTAGGCTCACAATTTAATGGAGCCACATTCCAGTGGCCGGGCAAAAGCGCCATTGTCGTAGCCAAAGTCAGCCAATGCCGCCAAAGCGACCGCAAGAAATGCATAAACATATTGCAGATTGTTTTTTGGCCACAGCCACAGCAGCAACTGCTGCAGCAGCAGCAACATGTTGCATGCACCTTGAAACGGACACTGCGCTGGGAATACGAGGCACCAAGGCGTTGCACGACGGAGGGCAGCAACGAAATCAAAACACAAACTGAAACAGAAGCTAAATTGGATGAATAGGAAAAAAGAAAAAAGAAAATAAAATTGACAAAAAATGATTTTCTAATCAGCGGGCGGGTGAGCTAAGTAGAGTGAGTGAGACAGAGAGATGAGATTAAGTAAGATCAAGACTTATAATTTACGCTAAGATCATCAAAGGTTTACGTTTAATATAAAAATTTTAATTATGATTTAGATTGTATTCATAATTCTCTCATTTGAATTTTTTGTATTTGCAACGTTTCTATTTCTGTCTCTCTTTGATTCTCTTTCCCTCTCACTCTCTTGAACGGTCACCCTCTCTTGCTAGAAGTAAAGTAAAGTCCTATCTAAATTTTAAGCTTATCTAAATCTAGAATTCTGCACTTTACGAAAACATTTTTCTTTCTCGACTCCGCTTTCAAGGCTTAAAATTTCCATATCTCTCTATTACGATCTCTCCCCCTCGATCTCTCTATCGACATATTGAGAGAAATAAAGTGAAGTTCTCTAACTTACATTTAATTCACCTCTTATGAAAACATTATTCCTATATTACCTATTTTAAGGCTTATAATTCTTAACTATATCTCTTTAACTCTCTGTCCCCCTCGCTCTTCTCCCTCTCGCGAATTTAAGTTAAGTTCCCTTATCTTAGATAAGTTATCTAAATTTAATTTCGCTGCTTCAATTCCGCCCCTTCCGATTCTGCTCGTTTCAAGGTTTACTCTCTTTTACTCTCTCTCTCCCTTGATCTCTATATCTTCTTCTCTCTCGAGAGAGAAAGAACTTAAGAGAAGTTATCTTATATATATTTAATTTCG